ATCTAACTTATATACAATCATTAATACTCATTTAAATTAATCCAGCTCCACTACCTGGTCTGAAACTAAATCCAGAAACATGTTATTCAACTGCTAGAGTTGAAAGTACATTCAGAACCAAAATGTGTAATGTTAAGAAATTTTAAGATTTCAGTCCTAAAGTTTGAGGTGGGGGGAGGGAGGAAAGGAAGACTTTTCTGCAGTCTCCTCTTGCATTAATTTTTAAAATTTCTGAAGAATGCTTACCTGCAAGCTTTCTCCGTGGACAAACACCTGAGCAAGTGCTTCACATCTCAGATATACATTTTCTATCTTCTCTGGTGCTATGTATTCTCCCTGGGCTAGTTTAAATATGTGTTTTTTCCGGTCAATGATCTTCAATGTACCATTCTGTTGACAGAAATAACTTCCACTCAGAAGAGGCACTTCAAGTGAAAAAACAATCTACACAGCTTAAACATGCTACACTACTACTAGGGAAAGCCTCAGGATTGGCACTAAGTGCCCCAGGCACACAGATTTATCTACAACAGTAATTATCTTCCCCTTAGAATTACTTTTCTTTCACCTAATTAATTGTGTTCAATGCCAAATATTTTCTATATTATTTGTTAAATTACTGCCAATAACTACAGAAGTACATTGCAGCTCTATAAGTGAACTTACTGGCAGCCATTTCCCAATGTCTCCTGTATGAAGCCAGCCATCTTTATCCAGAGCTTCTGCTGTTTTTTCTGGATCTTTCAAATAGCCACGAAATACATTTGGCCCTTTCACACACACCTGAAAACAGCCATTTGTTAATGTACACTACTATGAAGGAAGTTAAATATTATTTGAAATGAATGCTTTCTCCAATCATTCTCAATAACCCCCAACTAAAAAGACAAGATGAAGTTTATGCATTAGTACAGAAATATCTACTCATGGTTTGTTGGAGAGCTAACATTTTCCATTTGTATAGAGCATAAGCAGCAATTGGAAGCATCTGTTCTCTTCCAGTCTAGCAGCAGTATTCCTACCTGTTATTTGAATAATCTTGAGTTTCAGAGGAAATTTATTTTTATCTGAATAAATCCTGCTAGATCCAGAAATATTACCTCTCAGCCTGGCAATGTGTTCGTTTCAGCCTTGGTAAGGTGAAAGGGGCACTGTGCTAAAACTAGTGATGAAAAAGCTATGTATCAAGCAAGTCACATGTTTGCTGTCCACAGGTAAACCAGTTAATACCTCAGGGCTTAGAGCACTCAAGATTTCTCTATAAAGGAATCCTGCAATTTCTTTAATTGAAGGTTGTCTGGATTTGTGTACCAAGTAGAAAACCAAGAACAACTTCACTAGATATAACTCAATGCATGTGCATTATTAGGATCAAAACCAACCATGCTTACAAGGTATGAGAAAAAGGAACCACAAGATAAAAAGCTTGTAGTGAAGAGGTTGCCAGAGAATCTGGTCAGACATTGCAAGCTAAATTAAAACAGTTAGAGTACCTCTCAGTAAGAGAACATAAAAGTAAACTAACTAGTCAGGAACATGGACTAGAGCCTGAAGTATCTAGAGATGATCCCAGATTCAAGTATTTTCTTCTCAATATAACACCCAAGGTTCTGTAAGTTTTCTTTGGTGGGGAGAAGGGGGACACAGGACAGGACTTTTGTTATTTAAGGATCATCAGGACAATAAAATACCTCCTTATTTCTAAGGACAGAGAGGTAAGGCAAGATAAACCCGATTGAAGCAAAACTTAAAGATGCCGACCACACACAACTGTTGGGGACTCAGGAGTCCAAAAACCCTGAAAGAGTCCTCAAAAGCAATAAAACATTCGAACCATCACACCTGCTTGGCATGCCTGGATGATAGCAGACAGTAAGAAGGGTCTGATCTGGGCAACAGAATCAGGACTCTAGAACTAATGCAGAAGAAAGGGATAGAAAATTCAGTTTTAAGTTAAGGGCAAATAGATAATTTCTATCAATAGGGGCTGATAAAATATTAGGCCAACTAATAGCCTAGGGGATTGGTACAGTTATAAAATGGGCAAGGAACTGGCTAAAGAATCTTTAGGCACTAATATCAATTCTCAAACCAGAAGAAATTACTAATATAGTACAAAGACCAATTTTTGAAACATGCATTTCAAGTATTTTTAGTGCTTACATCAGCATATAATACAGGTATGCTGGTGAACTACACTGCAATGAACAGGAGATGTTGTCAATAGGAAAGAGATGGTAGTATTAGTGAGCGTTCTGATGACCTTGTAGAGACAGTACCAAACTCATGACCAAACCCAGATAAGCTTTGTTTTGTAGCAGAAATGACTTGGTTCTTAAAAAAAATTATCTGGAAGAATGTGTAGAGGAGAACTCTGTATGTCCCAGTCAAGTCAAAGGCTGACTGATCAAGTATTTCATTTGTCATGGCTCCTACATTCACAGGATGGCAGTAGGTGACAGTTTTTCTCAGTAGAGATGGCAAACCAGCTATCTGTATCCTGCTAACTGGTGCTAAGACTGCATCTGCATATGAGCATATGTAATTTTATTCACAAATATAACTTTCTTGAACACGGATAACTGGCAAAAGCTAAAGCAAGGCTGACAGAACAGAGACTATTGAAAGCTTACTCTCAGAAATGAGGACTAGGAGTGTTTAATTCAGCTAAAGAGCACACAGACAATGAGGAGGAAGATCTATTCTAGGCAAAGGATAATGAGAGCCAATTCTTTAGCTATGGGCTTCAGTTCTGTGAAACAAGTTATAACACTTATTTGTTAAATTCAGAATAGTTGATCTCAGGAAGTTAGAACTGAAGGATTAAGATGGCACCTGATATATTAAGGGGCTACCATGTTTATTCAAGTCTAAAGTAATTCCTAATACAGCAGACTTTCTGAGTAAGTACAAGCAAAACATTTTTAAAACTACTTAACTGTTTCTCATTACGACAACTTATACTCAGTTCCTCTAGCAGACCAAGCTTTAAAAGCATATTTAAAGTGAAGCAAAAATTGCTGATGAAGACTAAACATGGGACATGGGGTCAAGAATCTTGACGTTGCTCTCCACTTGCAGTTTCCCTACCACCAAGCCCAACTAACTCCTTGGGTATTTCTGGGAATTAAAGCCCAATAGTTTGTCCCTAGTCTCATACAAATTATAACCAAAACAAAGATTAATATATTGTTTGCAGTCAAATTAGTTACTTGCTTAAGCTACTTTACCCATTTCTCATCCTTCAGTTGCCCCCAAGGCCTCTCAAAAGCATATGAAAGCCACTACAATTAATTTTCTTTCAGGGCTTGGGGAAAATAAGTTACTACATGGACATCTGTTCAAAGTATACACACAAAGTTCAAGCTGTATACATTTACTTGGAAAAAATATTGTAGACAACAACATAAGCATTACATACAAAGCTGAGTCCTCAAAATGCAATTTGTAGAACAAGGGTGTTCAATTTGTGCAGGCTGCAGAAAAAAGTTCAGAAGAATGTGCAGGCAGTTGTCACAAATCACTAGCAGCTTTCACAGCATTTTATCTCCATTTCTCTTAATGGTGTTCCAGCCACTTCAAATTACCTCATCTCACACATCACAAGCTGGGTAAGAAGCTACATGCATCAGCTGTTCTTCAGCACTTAGCAGGGGGCAGGAAGCCCTCTGCTAGCATTTTTTACTGAAGGATAAATGCAGTATGAGATAGCTAGCTTCTCAGCTATCCCACAGCTGGAAGATGGCATATTGGTTGTACAACCATAAATATGTAGCAATTTGTTATCCCACAGTAAGCTGCTGCTTCTCCCCTCCAATACACTATTTTCTGGTTTGATTCTGTGAATCTTTAGCTGGCATTGCATACAAGCAAGGCAGGTATCTTTGATTTTTAGATAGCAGGCCATGTTTAGCACTTTTACTAAACCCAGACAGTTATTTCAGGAACAAAAAAAACATTTTCCAGGATTTCATAAGAGGCTCATATTGACCTTTTGAAATTACTTACCTCACCCTCTCCTTTGGCAGCCAAGTAATTCATTTCTTGTACATCAACAAGCTTGATGATACTGCATGGCATAGGTGCTCCAACATGACCTATTAAGTAAAGTAATACTTCAATAGCCTGAACAGCTTTTTTTTTTTTCTTGAAACAATAAGCTGGTTACACACTAAAGAAAGAGAGATGGAAAACTTATTTCTGGTAATACACTACACCAATACTAGTACAGTAATAGCTTAAATTTGCTGAGGCATTCTCAGATATTCCTAGAATGTAACAAACAATCAGGTACTCAGGCTTACTTTTTCTTATAATCAGGATCCTCAGTCTATAGACATGTTGAAGTAGCAAAAAGTCTCACTATAGTCTCAATTATCAGCATTATTTCAGTTAGGGAGCTGGAGGTGTAACAGCTGACAGAAATGCAGACTGTTTGTTCCAACACCAAAAAATGCCATTTAAGTTTCCAGCACTGTGTTTATACACAGCAGATTCCTATTCTGTAAAAATTACAGGGTTGATACTATGACCTCCCCTCTCCTAAATCCACTTCAACTTACAAGGACAAAGCATATTAAAGTTTGTATTACTGAACATTCCTAGCTATTTAGGGGTAGAAGCTTCAAGTGGTCCCTTCAGAACTTTTTTTACTTCACTTGGAAGAAAAATGAGATCTTATGCTTCATGACAGGTGTACTGAAGACTAAATCATGTGATCAGGGAGCTCTATAGCATCCTGAAATTTAACAGACAGGCAGACAGTTTAACAGACACCATACCTGCTGTCCAGTCACCAGGCAGTGACAGTGAGCATCCAGCTGTGCACTCAGTCTGTCCATAACCTTCATAAAACTAGGACATGAAACCAAAAGATTATTTAAAATTCTTACTTTTCAACATGCAGTTTCTTCATTAAAATTAAATTAATATTTTGCTTCTTTCTCTAGTTGTTAGAGTTTAACAAAATCCCCAGCATCTTCTAAAAAGATTATGACTACATTAGTTTTACTACAATACACAATTAAGTGCTAATATACCAACTTCAGTTCCAATATTTACTCAAAGTTTCACTCAGTTTCACATGCTATGTGACACCTGTATAGATCAAAACAGAAAGCAGAGGGAGCAGGAGGAAGAAAATAAGAACAGCGGCACTAGCAATGACTTCATTCACATCATTTAAGGAGAAGTTTGTCTAAGATAGCCCAAAATAGAACCCCATCACAGCTCTGTAATTATTATATACAAGACAGGTTTCCCTTTTCTATGCAGAATGCAGTAGTGTGCTGGTGTAGCAATGAAGAACTTTAATATGTGAGCCTTCTGTGACTTTTTGGAGTGTTTTCTATCCTTGAAATTTATTTCAACACATTTGTTCTATCCTGTGCCATTGTTATTCAGATTTTACCTCAAAAAGCGTATACTTTGAAGAGGCTCTGAAGATAAATGCAATATGTGCAATCTGATTCTCCCCAGTCTCATCTTCAAAGCAACAACACTACAATATCATCACCTTGATTAGATTCTCTACACTAGCTATGATTAGTTCTGTAAGCAAGGGAAGCCTCAGAAACTTAATCCAAGAACATTAACTATTGCTTACAGCACCCTCCAAAAACCTTTCCCTTAAGACAGTTCAGCTGGTTACTTTGAGTTATAATAAAGACTTTGGAATGAATACAAAAATCTCAGGGGACTGAGAGAAACACTCTGGAAAGGAGTATGCACTCGTGTAGTCTCCAGAAAGAATGCCAGAAGGAGTTAACCATATAATCAGACCACAGGAAATGCTCTAACATCAAAGCTAGAATGGGGTACTAAAATCTTTATGGTTTAGGATTAAGGCCAGGAAACTCACCTGACAGCCAAGAGCTGTTCTCAGGAAGGTCAGTACACTTGCAGATACAGGTGCTGCTCCTGTGACCATGAGCCTTACTTTTCCTCCCAAACTTGCCTACAACAGACACAAGATACTGTGCACACCAAAAGCATTTTAGAGAAGTTTCCAGAGTCTTTTTCCATCCCACCCTCAGCCACTGTTCACCTACAGTGCCACCCACAAATGTTAGAGATTAAAAACACTGCAAGAAAGACAGCTTGCAATAGGAGACTGAACTTTAATCTCATTAATGGCTAGAAGAAACAGTATCTCAAACATACAGTATCTCCTAAAGACTATGCTGTGGTGTCACTACAATGCACACCTCGGCCAAAAGTCTAAAAGAGCTTAAGTCATGGCCTTAGAGCAATGACTGTTTTTAACTGCCTTCTATCAGCTTCTCATACATCCTGAATGCTATAAAAAGCAGCCAGAGGGGCATGTTGTACAACCAAGGTCAGGGCCAGAGCAAGTCAGTGCCAGATATAATAGCAGGCATAGTTTACTAGTGACCAACAGTGAGGAGACAGTAGGGGCTGCAGGTCACACGAAGTCACATTTAGCATTCCTCCTTCAGAAGGACAGTGTTTGCTTTCAGCAGTAAGTGAGAGAAGCCTCCCTAATACAGTTAGCTGATATTACTATGACAAAGGGAATTTAAAAACGAAGTTGGAAGTAAGACAGTTTGGGGTTTTATTCTGAGTAGCCAGGTAGTCTTTAATCAGTGATGAAAGCCATACCAGATTATAACCATTCATATAAAGTTCAGCAATGACAAACCAATGCCTATAAACTAATAAGTAGATAGGATATATAGTGATGCTTTACACTTCCAATATTGAAAACATGTCAAACTGCTGTTCTGTAACACAGAAACCACACGTGGAGCTCTGTTCTAAAAATAATCACAAGCAAACAACATAACAAAAAGGTCCAATATCCACCATACAAAGACTTAGACTCAGAGGCTTTCAAGCATACCTGTATTTTGCGGAAGATGACTTTATCCCAGAAACTGTTATTTCTAACTATACCACTTCTGAGTTCTGCTTCTTTCCTCTTAGAAGCAAAATCCAGCATCCACCTCTTTAATGAAGTATCTGCCTGTCCAAAAATCTGGAAGAAAGATGTGTGGTTAGAAGCCTCACAGACTACCATTCCCTTTCTTACAGAAGCATGCAGAGAGACTCTTAACAGTGAAAACCAAATAAATTAAACATTTATTAGTAAGCATCTTAATTCTGGTAAGAAATACTTGTGGATTTTGATTTTGGCCTCTTTACCTCAGTTCAAGAGATGTCTACCACTTAACTAATTCTTGTTTCCCATACAGCTGTGTGATGCTTTTTCAATTAAATTCATTAAAATGTATGAATGAAAGTGGATGTTTTACTTTTCTATTCCAGTTTGATCAAAAGTCAAATTAAATAGAACCCTCAGCATATTCTAAAGAGCACACCATCACAATATGTAAAGTAACACAGGTTTTCTGAGGAGATGCACATCCCTTCAGAAATACTAGAGAGATCTGTCTTGCATATATAAACTTTCTTTTTAGATCACTTTTCAAGGGCTCCTTCTGGTTTTTCTCAGAAAGTCAGAGCAGATTCAACAGCAGAGCACAGATTAATATAGTCACTTAGAGACAGACACAGCAGCTCTTCAGCATTAGGGCCGCCACCAATTTCCCACTTCACACACTAGGTTACCACAAGGCTGGGTGAGGTTGAAACAGTGCCACAGAAGCGTAAAAGCCTCAGGGCACCAGAGTCAACAAACAAGATGACATCATGAATGAAGAAAGAAGAGAGTCCCAAGCTTTGGCTCTGTTTCTCAAATTCCAGTACAGAATGCATAAACAGAATGAGAGGCTAAGTTTTAAGCACTACAGGCAGGGCTTAGAATTTCCTTCCCCCCAAACATAGCAGAGTTGCACTATTTGTTCCTGTGGCCAGACAGAACCTTGTATTACTAGCTGTTCCTCTAGTCTCTGATTAGAGCAGTGTCCTAGCTAAGACAGCATTTCTTTAGCAGTCACAGGATTTCTTGTTCTATCCTTCAACTCCTCTGGCTGTACCCTAAGAGTCAGTCATCCATGTGCAAGAGTATGATTTAAAAATCTTAAGTTCAAGACAGAATCTACTTCTGAATTCTCATCTCAGATGACCCTGAGAAGCAGCAGGCACAGGAGAGACCAGCGCTGCTGACACACCCTCTCCCCAGCACTCTGGGCTGGCTGGTTTATAGTTCTCCCTGTTAGAACACACTGGCTACTGCATAGGAAACTTGTATGTGTCCATGCAAACATAGGCAAACACCTGACCTTGGTTTGCAAATTCCACTCCATGAGTCAGATGCTAAAAGCGTGGCATGCAGATGCTAAGCCTCAAGCTTGTGTTGTAGACTGGACTTAAATGACTTGCTCAGAGCAAAACAGTAAGTCATTAATCAAGCTAGAGAGAACCAAGTCTTCTAGTCAGTTTTTCAGGCAGCAAATACTAGTGTTGAAATGTGTTTTAATACTACCAGTACTACTCACTGAACTTTCAGCTCTGTTTTAGAAGAAATACACCAGTTTGCTAGCATGCTGATTTAACATCCCAGAGCACAGTAGTTTCTCCTACCACGTCAGCACAGACTTCATGAAGTCTCTTAAAACTCTGCACAGGTCTAGACTCATGCCAGTAGACTTACCTTGTCAAACATTCTGTTCAGTAGTCTTGGTACTACAGGAAATACAGTTGGCTGCAGTGTTTTTAGATCATCCATAAGCAGTCTGATATCCCCTTGAAAGAATCCTATCCGAGCTCCATGGCACAGAACCACACACTGTTAGAAAAAGTTTAAAAATTCTGAAAACATAGCATATATAATGTATTCTAGCTATATGTGTATGACAATCCTAAGCAGAATGGACAGTGCAGTATCCACCTTAAATCCTCTCAGCTTCTGGACAAGTTCTGCAGCACTCTTGCACTATAGGATGAGACTGGAAAGACCAAGTTGCAAGACATGGCTGGTATACACAGGCCAATGACTTTGATAGAATCAGATATGGCACAAAAGCCCCTATCCAAAAAGGGGCAGTTGGCCAAATAAGGCAATGCCAGCAACTCAGAGGTAGTATGAGACTGAAAAGCAGAACTTTCCTATTTAAATATTTATCAGGGTTATTTAAAAATACTTGAACTTTGTTCCCTGCTCTATACTGAAAAAGTCAGCACATGCTACATACTGGTCCAGCAGGGATTTCTGCCTTGCACTACTTGCTTTTCATTCTCTTGCACTCTGGTTTTCCTTCCTGTTTCACAAGACTGATGCAAGCAGATCTATTGTTAGGTGATCAAGATACTCTTTGGAAGATTCTAGCAGAGCCACTGATTACTTTTGTATCACTTCAGACCTACACCAAGGAAAGCAGACTTAATCCTGTCATGTTCTATGTTCTCTGTGTTAGAATCTAGAAGCTCTACCCTCCATACCTACAGACACCCCCTTTCTTCCTATTTTGTTTGGGTTTTATTTATTCTTTTTAATAATATCCCTACTCTTCTTGTGTTTCTCTATACCTACTTGGTTTTATTTCTTCCCCTGTAACACCTCTTCCTTCATTCCCTGCCATCCATTCATCTTTTCTGCACATGAGACATGCCAAAGTGTCATTTTTCACATGTACTTGGCCACCATCTGCTAAAAAGCTGCAAATCCATCAGTCCAGATGGAGTGAACAGCAACTGCCTTTGCTAGGTGGCAACATGTTTGTCCTGTCAAGATCACTGACCCTCTAGCTTCCTTCCAAAGCCAAAAACCAGCGAACATGAACTTTACAGCAGGGGCAGACTCTAAAGACTGCTTATCACAGAGCCTGTGTTCATACCTACCCCAAACAGTAACAAATCTTTTCTCCTTTCTACAAAAGGGGCCCTTGCTTAATCTCCTTATATAAATATACAGGTAAACACCTACTTTGTAGAGACCTCAAACAACAGAGGAATACTGAGATCCAAACACTTTCTTCTCATTTTGTCCTTTAACACAAGTTCCCATCCTGTTTCTACTGCATGATCAATAACAGAGCTTTTACCTACAGAGCCTGTATCTTCAGATGCAAGACAGTCATCAGTAAAGCAGACACTGAAGCATAACTGGTATCCAGGTTACCAGGAGAAAAAGAGCGCTGGAAGCCTAAGGGCACCTGTACAACTCAATTAAGCTCTATTCTCAATCTTTGTAACATACAGACACATATGCATACATATATTTTATGTATGTGTATACAGACACTTTTTTGGTAGAAAGTTCAGGATTCCTAACTGAAATTATAGAACAATTTCTGGCTCCACATACCTTTTCACACTTGCGT